CTGCTTCCTGAGAGCCCTGGCACCGCTTCCCCGCCTGTTTACAGCTTCTCCTGTTACAGTCCCGGAGAGGCCCCGAGCTGGGGAGGGAGCGTGGGCTGCAGGGAGGCCGCCTTCCCCCTTCGCATCCAGCAATCTGCCCGTCCCTGTCCCTCTGGGGCGACGCTGCCCTGCGTGGAAATAGTAGCTGAAGGCTGCTGTCCTCCCCACGGCTGGGAGGAACATTATTCAGGAACCAGTTAACCAGTTAACCAGTCCCGGCGTCGGTCCTGCTCTTGGCCGAGGGCCCTGACAGACCATGCGGAGCAGCTCCCCGAGAGGCTGCTGCGGCCGCCCCAGTCCTGCTGCCAGAGACCACCCTGGGGCTTGGCCGGGGCGTTCGTGTCGCCCCCAGCCCACGGCAGAGCGGGTGCCGCACACTCTTCCCCAGCTTTGAGGGAGAACTGTCCGGCCAAAAAAGGCCGGTGACCTTCAAAAGAGCTTGGGAACTCCCGGGCGCAGTGCACTGCCAAAGCGTTGGCAAAGCCGGTGGACGTGATGCGGGCACGACCCCCGGCACACGCTGGGTGCCGCGAGCGCTGCGGGTGAGCTCGCTCTTGCTCACGTAGCCAAAGTGACGCAGCGGCACGTAGGACGAGGCCAGCTGGGAGGCGCGGGTGCCGATCTGGGGCCTCTTTTTCCCCCTGCCCAGAAGAGGTCTTGGCCTCCTGACTTTCCCCCTCCTCTGCCTCTGCGCTGACTTCTGGGCGTAGAATCATTTAGATTGGAAAAGACCGTCAGGATCATGGAGTCCAGGGCCCTGACAGGGCTGGCCAAGCTGCAGCCCTGCTGTGCGACCTCGGGCTTCTCCTTCCCTGGCTGTGAGGATCTCTTTCTTTGCAGGATACGCACGCTTTGCAGCAACTGTTGCACAGGGAATCGCTCCAGAAGCCGAGACAATGAAGCTGTTGGAGAACTCAAGTTTTGAAGCAATAAACTCGCAGCTGACAGTGGAGACGGGAGATGCTCACATCATCGGCAGGTGAGTGCTGGCAGCTGCCTGCTGTCTGCCAGGGAAGCAGGGCTGCTTTCTTTTTCTTTTCCCGAGAACAGCGTCAGAAGGTGTTGCAGTCCGGCAGCGTCAGCAGTCCATCCCCGATCCTGCTGGAGCGGAGGGGAGATCACTGCTGACCCATAGAATCACAGAACAGTTTGGGTGGGAAGGGACTTTTAAAGCTCATCCAGTCCAACCCCCCTGCCATGGGCAGGGACATCTTCACCTTGAGCAGGTTGCTCAGAGCCCCGTCCAACCTGACCTTGAATGTTCTCAGGGATGGAGCATCTACGACCTCTC